GGATTTCTGAAATTCACGTGACCATGTTCTCTGTCATCTAAAGTGTATTCCTTGGGTTGGTTCAGTATTGCAATAAACAAGCAACAAACCAGTGCCCGATCCCTTTTTACCCTGAGCTCTGACGTCAATTCCCGTATTCCTCATTCAAGCAATAATGTTTCATAACTTTTATCCTGTAGGGGTTCATATTGTGTTCCTCTGAGCAAAACCCCATAATTAGTAGCGGACAGTCAGTGTGATTCTCATTCCTCCTCTGTTATGGGTCAGGCGTGTCTTTGTGGAGTTCTGTGATTCCATGTCCTTCTGTTGTGTCTCTGTCCTTCTGACCTTGGTGGCTGCTTGAAATTCTTTTTATTCTGAGAATTAGAGGCCAAATGCTTTTGTTGATGGTTCATGTCAGGACAGACTGGTGGTATGACCAAAGCTTTGGAGAGTTGCGGTGTCATCATTGAGGTTGCCCTGTGACTCTGCTGTGCTGTGGTTTGTGGGTGTGTGGTGAGGAGTTACCCCCAGGCTCTCTCAGCCCTGTCAGGCTGCTCTGGGCTCGGCTGGGATCATTGTCCCTTCCATCCCTTTCCCTCCTTCCTTGCGTTTCTCCCATCTGGCAAAGCGTGACACAGAACTCTGTCTTTCCCATTGACCTTCATGCCCTCTTGCCTTTAAGGTTGTCATGTCCAGGACCTTTTTGGGTTTTACTTGCACTGAGGTATGAGGCCACTTCTCTGGGTCGTATCTGACCACCAGGAAGAGGATTTGGATGTTGCCCATGATTTTTGGAGAACATTTCATGATCCTGAACAGGCCAATCAAGTCCAGGTTCTGTCAGTGTCCAGCGGGGTGGCCTGAGAAGGGTCTGAAGGGCTGTGCCCGGACGGTTGTGGTCAGTGTCCCAAAGTGCAGATGGCAGCAAGTGCCCAGTGCTGTCACCCCAGAGCTGGATCCACTGGGTCAACACTGAAACCCTGAGTGGTGCTGGGCACCTGCTGGAGTTCAGCAAGGGCAGCTGCCAAGGGCTGTTTCTGGTGGGAGGGTCAGCCCAGAGAGGATAAAATGTCTGTGTATCAGAGCAATTGTTTTGTTCAGAGAAAAACCCTTAGTGGTTGTGGTTGAGAAGAAATGGAGCAGGAGGTGTCCCTGTAGCATTGTAGGGAAACGGGACCCAAACATTCCATGGCTCGATTGGGAAAATGATTATGAGCAATCAGGGAGAGGTGACTGTTCCTATGTCGTGAGCAGTGGTGGGGTCCTCATGGGAGGTGTTTTTGGTAGTGCTGGGCTCCTTAGTGTGAAGTTAAAGTCGATTCAGTGAATCAAAGCAGTTGAGGGCCAGAAGGATCCTAAAGGGTCTGGAGGGACTTTTGTAGAGGAGTGTCGGATACAGCTGGGACTGCCAGGGGACAATGCTGGGCAGGGGGTTGTGACCAGTGTGTGCAAATCCCTGATGTCAGGCAATGAAGATGAGGAGCCTGGCTGTTCTGAGCAGTGTGGACATGCAGGACAAGAGTCCTTGGGCACAAGTGAAAACAGATGGAATTCCATGGGCAAAGGAGGGAAGCATTTGTCAGTGTGAGTTTGTTCACAAAGGACAAAATCTGATGTTGTTTCTGTCCTGAACAATCGACCACTGAACTGTCCACGGTGCTGGAAATCCTGCTCTTGCTGACTCTGCTTGAGCAGAAGGGAATGAAGCCCTTCAACTCGAGGGTTCCTGTGCAAGTGCAAGACTTTATTTCTGGTTGTTCTGAGGGTTTGAGAGTCCTGCTAGGAAGAAATTCTGTAAAATGTGTGCTGGCAGTGAGGGACTTTGTCAGAGCCATGAGCAGGAGAGAATTGATGTGTCCCAGCCTTTTGTGTAGCAGGTGATGTGCTTATGTCATGGTCTGGAAGTTTTCCCCCTTCCCCCCTTCCTGTGCA